ACTAGTAGCTACTTGTTACTACTAGTAAGGCACTTGTTACTACTAGCTTCCTATTTTGCGAAATTGACGAAACCGTTTCGTCTTCTGTTCCTGACTTCTTTCGACGCATTTCCTGAGGACATGGATGAGTTTTTGTATGGATGCATGCGCTTGAGGCCAAGACCTCAGTCCAAAACGGTGTTGGTATGATGGTTCTTCAGGTCAAGGCCATTCTTTTTGAGAGTCTGTCCTTTTCTTTACAATGCGTATTCTTGCTTCGTTTCTATCTATTCATAAGTATTCATGCTATTATTACCTTTTTACTTATCTTTTCTGTCTTTTCTCTAACTAAAGTTCCTGCGGCTCCCTTGCTCTTGGCAGATCTTGCACAAAGCGGGAGCGGAGAAACTTCACTATGCAAGTAGAGCCAATAGATTTGTTTTGGAGGCCATCGTTTTTAGGTTGGAGGCCATCGCTAGTAGGTTGGAGGCCATCGCTAGTAGGTTGGAGGCCGTCACTTTTGGTTTGGAGGCCATCGCTATTAGTAACTCAACAGAATCTGCTGTGGAAGGGTTGCGATGTGACGATGTGTCGCGTCGTCTCTTTATGTGGTGAAGTATGATGTGTGGTGATGTCAGCAGCACTGGGCATCAATCTGGGTATCGCTCTAGGATTGCAATCTTCTTTTTCTTTGTCTTTAGGCCTTTAGACTTTGATTGTTTTCATCGCTACTGGGGGCTCCTGGCCTTACTACTAGGAGCCAGGACGCTACTAGGGGCTCCTGCCATCGCTACTAGGAGCAAGGACGCTACTAGGAACAAGACTTTTCTTGTTTCTTTCTTTGTATGATTCCTTGCTTATTTGTGATACTCAGTCATACTCAGACACTTTGCCTCAGGGGCGAAGCAAAAGCCTTGGACTTGGCAAAGTTAATGCATTCCCACGCCTGGTCAGATGCCAAGTGACCCCTGGACTGAAGTCAAAGTTGGGAGCTAATAGCAATGGCCTACAACCTAGTAGCTTCTTGTTCCTAGTAGTAAGGCCAGGAGCCCCTAGCGATTAAAAGCCCATGCGGCCCATGCTTGGCCAAAGTTGGGAGCTTTCTTCGATGTGTTCAGTCGCTAGGGGCTCCTGGCATCGCTACTAGGAGCAAGGATGCTACTAGGGGCTCCTGGCCTTAATGGTTGTAACAAGAAGCTACTAGGAGCAAAGGTAGATCCGGTAGATAAAACCGTCTTCAGTTGAAACTCTGAGGCTTGCGAAGCAACAGGCAAGAGTCCAGACTCTCACAGAACAATTCTCCAGATCCACTTGTTACTACTAGTAAGGCACTTGTTACTACTAGTAAGGCACTTGTTCCTACTAGCGTCCTTGTTACTACTAGTAAGGCACTTGTTACTACTTGAACATTGTCCCCAAGCCAGGTGGACTTCATGATGTTCTGTGAAGAGAAGTCAAACATCTCAGGACGTTGAGATATGATGAAACGGGATCCGAGGTTCAAACCGGATTTTCTTGGCGAAAAGGCGAAAAGCAGCTGTTTTCATTAAAGCTAAACACCTTGTGCTGAGCTTCCAATGAGGTTTGTGCAGATCCAGGGCTTTTTGGCCGATGGCAGTGGCCTGAAAAGTGTCATATCTTGGGCACAACGAAGCACTCCTAGTAGATCCTAGTCGCTTCTTGTTCCTAGTAGCTATTTGCTCCTAGTAGTAATGCCCTTGTTACCAGTAGCGATGCCCTTGTTACTAGTAGCTTCTTGTTACTACTAATAAGGCACTTTTTACTAGTAGCGAGGCACTTGTTACTAGTAGCTTCTTATTGTTCCTGGTAGCGTCCTTGTT